AATACATTATGTAACGTAACATCCTGTTTCCTAACAAACAACACTTAACTCTGTAATGACTGAAGCGTAAGCAACTTGAAACTCCAACACTAATAGCCACTGATGGACTTCTGCTCCATATGCTTATCTAATTCCCTCTTGAAGCCGTCCATGCTTGTAGCCGCCACCACTTCCTGTGGCAGTGAATTCCATGTGTTAATCACTCTTTGGGTGAAGAAGGACTTCCTTTTCTCCGTTCTAACCCGACTGCTCAGCAATTTCATTGAGTGCCCACTTGTCTAGGAGTGCACAGCAAGTGGTATAAATAAGATGGAGCCCAATTTCCAGATCTATGACATAATGGGATTGTTTCTTGGATTTGTAGACCTAATTTTATCCTCGTTTTTAACACTATTCTCTCCCTGCTGATGTCTTTGAATCCCACCCCCAATTGTTTTCATATTTGATTGTGCTACTCCATTTTTCTTACTTGGTACACAGCTGATCGTTTTTAATGGATTTTTCAAAGAACTCTGCTGGTGGATGATTGATTGATTGATTGATTGTTCCAGTGGCTTTTTAAATTATTTCACTTGCCATTCTTATGATGGTTAGATCCTTCAAGAACCATTCTAGCTGAGGGTGTAGGAAAGAAATATTTTTTGAAATAAATAAATAAATGGATAAAAGAAAAAAAATCACTTCTGGCTCTTGAGTAATGTCACAAGCGGAGAGATGGAAGTATTCCAGCCAGTCCAAAGCAGCTGTTTTCTCCAGGGGAGCGGACATCTGGAGATAAGCTGAAATGCTGGGGCTCCAGGCCCCTCCTGGGGATTGGGAACCCTACTCATAATGGATCTTTCCACATGGGGGTGGGGGGGAGGAGAGAATCTCTCTCTCCAGCAGCCCCTGATTTCTGTCCTGTGTTTTGGTACAAAGCGCTCCCCAGGGCAACTCCCCAAAATATAAAAAACCCATAAAATACATTGCATAGGATAAAATCACAAACAACAGGTTTAATAGCTGAGGAGATAGCTAGGGTGGCCAACCTACAGGTAGTGGCTGGAGCTCTCCTGGCATTACAACTGCTCTCAAGGCAACAGAGGTCCGTTTCCATGGAGATGATGGCTGCTTTGGAGGATAGATCCGATGGCATTATATCCTGCCGAGGCCCCTCCCCTCCCAAAACCCCACCCACCCCAGGCTCCACCACCAAAACCTCCAGGCATTTCTCAACTCAGAGCTGGCGACCCTATTCATATCACATTTTGTGTTTTTCCCCCCTGTGCTTGCATAAACTCGCAGCAGGCACACTACCCTGTCCCTTGCTCAGTAGCCAAAGTTGCTCCCTAGATGAGAATGACAGAGGGCTGCAAGCACAGGCTGGAAAGCTGAGCTAAAACGAATAAAATGAATTTTAACAGGGA